AAACTTCATTCGATTTAGATGACACTCGACACTGGGGGGTCTTCGGGGTCGCTAATTACGAATCCGTTGTCAGATTTTCGAAACTCATAATGGCGGATTCAAAATGGCGGACGAAAATACGAAAAATAATTTTAAAAATTAACAAATGATTATTTTTATTTATTATTAATTCAGAATAAACATTTAAAATTTAAAACTTTGAAAAGTTCAGCTCGCGGAATGAATATAATCCACACGAAAAAAATAATGCACTAGTGACTACTTTCTCTGACATGACTTGCTAATGTTTCTCAAAAACAATTGAAAATTGCATCGGTGGACAGGTATAATATACTTTTGCATGAATAAATGATGCATTTGCATAAATGGATACGTAAAACCAATTGTTCGTGTCAACAAACGCAATTTTCAGTTGTTTTTGTCAAGCATTAGTCAATCGTGTCAGCGAAAATAGTTATTAGTGTTTTATTTTCTTTGATAATTCGATATTGAGATACAATTTTTATGTTTACGATTGTGTAATGACATCATCACATATGCCTACTTTTATTACCTTTTCTATATGCTTCAAATGTTCTACTGGCGAACGTTCCTACAAGTTTCCTAATTTCGTTATATAATTTTTACAAACAATTCGCTTTGCACATAGAAAAAAATTGTTTTCTTGTAATAATAATTTTCTACGCTCTGTATAACGTTTTCTATAGTTATAATTACACCAATACTTTGATACTGTATTTTTCGTATTTTTCTTATGGTTTGATGTTTAGTTTGTATCCTAATAATTTCTATGATTGCGTTTGCATACTATAAATCATTCATTTCATAAGCGTACATGAGATTTGATTATATTCGAGTGATTATAATTTACTCTGTGTAAAATAAGATGAATTTTTATTTGACTTAACATTGTTTCGAAATTTAATTCGTTGCTAAGGTTCTCTTTCGTTTACTGAAAATGGAAGAAGAGATAGTAGAATTTCCAAGCGATTGTGAGTCTGTAGACGACTTATGCGATAGTAATGGCGAAGCAGTTTCAAACGATGAAAGTGAAGAAATTGTTCACAGCTTACAAAGTAATATCATTGATGAGTACGATAGTGAAGATGAAGCTTTGATTGTTCGTTTGCAAAATTTAGATGGTAGATGGGAACAAAAAAGCAGACCAAAGGAAAATGTTCAATTCACTCAAGAATCTGGACCGAATGTACCAGATTCAGCTATGTCGCCATTAGATATATTTTACTATTTATTTACTCGTGATTTGATTGATATTCTAGTTGATCAAACCAACCTCTATCGAGAACAAAGTCAAAGTACAGCAAGTGCAGTGTCAGAAAATGAGATGCTTGCATTTTTGGGCATCAACATATTGATGGGTGACAAAAGACTGCCAGCATATAAAGATTGGTCCATAAATCCTCAGATAAATGATCCATATATATGCAATATTATAACTCTCAATCGCTTCAGTTTCTGTCTTAGCCATTTGCATGTAAATGACAATAGCAAAGAACCATAAAAAGGTGAGCGAAATTATGACAAAATATATAAAATAAGACCGATGGTGACAAAACTGAATGAAAATTTTAAAAATTATTTCAAGCCTAATCAATATCAAGCTATTGACGAATCGATGGTGAAATTCAAGGTAGGAACACAATGAAACAATACAATGCTGCAAAACCTATAAAAAGAGGTTACAAAATTTGGGTGCGAGCAGATGAGACGGGCTATGTCTGTGAATTTCAGATTTATACCGGTAAATCAAGCGATACCGCGGAAAAATCGTTAGGCGCTAGAATTGTACGAGATCTTACGCGAGAAATCATTGCTCGTTATCATCAGGTATATTTTGATAATTTCTTTACAAGCGTAGATTTCATGATTTCCTTCCGAAAGCAGACGAAATTTTAGCTTGTGGGACTGTTCGTCAAGGCCGTGTTGGATTACCAAAGCTTCAAATGATTGATAAAAATATGGTCAGAGGTCAGCATGAGTATCGAACTTCTTCTTCAGGTTTAGGCTGGATAAAATGGAAAGATAATAAGGCTGTCTCATTTTTGTCAAACTTTCATGATACTAGCGAATTAGGAACGGTAAATCGCAGACAAAAAGATGACTCGTTACTTGCTGTAACTTGTCCTACCATCGTTTCTGATTACAACAAGCATATGGGGTATGTGAACAAAGCAGACATGCTCAAATCGACCTACCAAATCAACAGAAAATCGAAAAAATGGTGGCATCGAATTTTTTGGCACCTTCTCGATGTAACGATTACAAATGCATACATAATTTATAAAGAAAAAGGCAATAAAGACAACCTAACCTTGAAAACTTTTAGACTAGCTCTTGCACATGGATTGATAGGTGGAATTTTATCGCCAAGAAAAGGTAGAAAAAGTTTACCAAAAATTGTTGGGCCGCACAAACCCCAAGTTTCTGTAGAAAAAAGACGCTTCGCATCCGCGCATATGCCTTTATGCAATTCTGAAGGAAAACGTCGTCGTTGCGCTCATTGCAGTACCAAGGAGAAAGAAAAAAGAACCACTTGGATTTGTACACAGTGCAATGTACCCCTTTGTGTGTCTGCAGATAAAAATTGCTTTCTGGCCTTTCATTCGTGACTCACGAAATAATATTAGTCATGAGATTCTATAAACATTGCAAAAAAACAAAAAATTAACAAAACAACTAATAAAAACAAAAAATAAATTTAAAAAATAAATAAAACAAAAAAGCAACAAAAAAATATAAAAAATACAAAAAAACGAAAAAAAAATTATTTTAATGGAACTAGTAGCCGCCACGTCCTCGTCGTTAGTTCCGGGTAATGCTAAGAGTGAGTAGAACATAAATTCAAACATAAATTGTCAATTTAAATATTTTTGTCTGTAATGTTGGTTCCGCCATCTTGAATGGTTTGAAATTGAATTTTTTGCACACGAATTTAAATTTAGAGATAAAAAATACTTCAAGAACAGAGTTGAAAGAAATGTAATA